GTTCTTGCATGAGGCCCATTGTGTCCTCTGTGTCAGGAGGAAAAGTACTGTCTGGATTGTTGTCAGCTCAAAGTTCAAAAGCCAGCATCACTGATTGTATGGGGGTGTATTGGTGCCCTAGCAGGGGTAACTTGCACATTGGTGAAGGCACTATTAATGTTGAAAGGTACGTGCCATCCAAGTCACGTCTTTTTCAGGGACGTCTCTGCATATTTCAGCAAGACACATTCTGCCCATGTTACAACAGCRTGGCTTTGTAAGAGATGGTTCCAGACTGGCCTGCCTGCAGTCCAGACCCGTCCCCCATTGAAAATGTGACAACAGAGACTGCAGACTATTGAGTAACTGAAGTTGTTCATCAAGCAAGAAAGGGAAAAATTTGACCCAAAGCTTCAACAAATAGTGTCCTCAGTTCCAAAATGCTTATTGAATGTTGTTAAAAGGAACACAGTGAGAAACATGCCACTGTCCCAGCTTTTTTGGAACATGTTGATGGCATCCAATTCAAAATGAGCTAATTTCTGAAAAACAAATGTAAAAAAAAAAGTTGATTAAATATTTTGTCTTTGTAGTTAATTTAATTGAATATAGGTTGAAAAGGATTTGCAAATCATCATAGTTTGTTTTTATTTATGTTTTACACCACGTCATTGGCATCGGGGTGCTAGTTTTATTTCTAGTTTTGTCCCTATTTAGTGCAGTGTTTTCATGACTGTAGTCCACTTTAATTATTCTCTTCTATTTTTAAAGTGAAATATTTGGAGTTTCAGTGAGGGTTGTCTCTTTTTTTTAACTGATTTGCTGGATTGTGATTAAATGTATCTTTAAGAAACATTAATGAAAAAGTTGTGAATAGAGGTTCAAGAATAGGCAAACAAAGTAAAAGCAAATGATGTCTCTAAATTTAATCTTTRTTCTTTATCTGTTAGGTTATGTAAGGTCTAAAAGCAGCATAAAATATATTTAGGAAAAGGTAATTTTAATTTTCTACAATAATCATTTATTGACATTAATTTTTTTTCAATTACTACTGACAGAGCTTGGCCTATGGGTGATCTATATTCAATGGCACGTGACACACCCCCTAGCTGGAGGAACTGCCTGATATTTTCCTCAGACAAACTTGTCTGCTGTGCACTTAATGTAGATTTTGTGAAACATCTAGAAAGAAAATGGTAAAATGTCAAATATGACACAATATCCTGAGTGGTTAGTGGGCGGATTATGTTCCAAAAATCTAAACAGAGCCTGGAGAAGTGACTCTCTRACTGTAGTGGAAGTTTCTTATAGCAAGTTTTATGTGAGCATCAATTTATTGTAGTTTTATTTTTCCTCTGCAGAAGATTTGACTTTAACTTCAGTTTCTCCATTTCCTTAAAATGACTTCACTGAACTGATGTACGACTCAGAACTTCTTTGCGTCAGTGTTGTCTGACACTTCAAAAATACCTCATCAAATGTTTCTGGTGATGCTGTAAGCTTCACGTCTATTAAAGCTGTCTACTTTGTCAGGGGGTTCTTTACCCTGGTGGAGCGAGCTTATCATAGGCATCATTGTCGATTCACCCAAGGCAGACTGTGTAATGCCCAGAAAAACTGCAAGAAGACTCAGGAGCTCCATCTCAAACAGGCCTCRATAAGCAGGTTAAAGGTTGTGACAGTAGAATTAGACAATAAATAAAAAAATATGACTCATTTTGAAGAATCCCAATGAAAAAAAAAACCTCTTCTCTCTAAAGTTGTCTCAGAATGAACAAAGTCCTTTGAACAGGTGAGACCAAAGCTGAGACGTTTACCTGTAATGACCATTAGCAGAGAAAACCAAACAACATTTCAGCACAAATGCTTCATAACCCTGTAAAGTACGATGGTGGATGATCTGGGCTTGGTTTGAAGCCACAGGACAGGGTTCCCACACCTTGGTCAACGTCAAATTCAAGGACCTTTCAAGGACTTTCCAGTACCAATTTCCTTCAAATTCAAGAACCTTGCGCAAAGGCAATTACCTACTGCTACCACAGAATGTTACCAATAAACAAATTTAATATCATGTAAATTTAATCAAAGACTGAACAACATAGAAGTTGTTGAGTCAGAATCAATGACGTCAGTTTACAGTAATCCTGAGTTATCCACCAACAAATATCCATAAACCAACAAATGTAAGTTTATTTATTTATTTTATAATTTATTTTTTTAAAAGATGATGAAAATCAGTCGTGTGAATAGAGAATTTCAATCCCCAAAAAACATTCAAGGACTTTCAAGGACAAGTATTACTTTTGGCTGTTTTCCCAAACTTTCCAGGGCATTGAAAATATTTTTTCGAATTCAAAAACTTTCAAGGATTTCAAGGACCCGTGGGAACCCTGAGTCAACCATGAACTCCGTTGTCCGAGTCAAATCTGAAACCATCGGTACGACAGCTGAAGTTCTGGCCCAGCTGGATCAGTGAACAGATCTCAATGAACTGAAGCAACATTAGAAAGAAGAGTGGGGCAAAATCCCTCCACAATCATGTGAGGCAGATGAAGTCAAACAGAAACATGAAGTTAAAGGTGGTTCTACTGCTTAATCATGGGGTTGATTTACTGGTAGTTCTTCCACACACCTATTCTCCTTTAGCTTTCTTTTTTTTATTTTAATAAATAATGACTCAGCAGAATGTGCTGTGAGCTTTTATTCACTTGAGGTTAGATTTGAAGAATTTTTAGAACATAGTAAAGATCACATTTTTTCTCCTCTCTCTGTCTTAAATCGTTAAACTCTAAAAAGAGGGTGGACTTTCTCCTTCCCCATGACTATCTGTTACATGAATGTGCTCGTGCTTTTCCGCTCTGACACATCAAGCTGCATCTGGAAGCTGAAACCAATTTGCCCAATTATGTCACCAGCTCAACTGTAGCACAGCACACCCTTCTCCAGTGGGAGTAGACTGCAACTGGACGTCCAGTTAATACAGCACACACAGTCACGCTCAGTGACACAATCTCTCACTGATGACACACACACACACACACACACACACACACACACAC